TTGGAAAAAACACACCTTCAAGTTCTAAGAGACTTCACAAAAATAGATTTTCGAAGGTGGGTGATCGTTTGTGATGATCATTGTTCAACAACACTCAGTTTATCTTTATTGATGCACTTCCCAATCAAGTATGTTTTTATTTATCCTTTTAAGGACTACTTTAGTTTTCAGTAAACTACTACTCTATTTAGAAAAGCATTGAGTGCTATCATTGATTAACTTATAACTTTTAGATTAACAGAATGATAGTAGGTCGATAGTTTGTTATCATAACACAATCCTTCCGTTTTGTCACCTAGTACGTACCAACAACAACAAACAACAACAACACCATACACGCAACACTATGACACGTGTACAATGTCTATGTACTAAGACACCATGTTGTCTTTGGACAACAATACAATCAAGCATCTATTAATGAATCACTTCACTTCTTTACTCCTTTACAATTAAAACTTTAACTGTACATAATCTTAATACCATGTTAACGAGAAAATCGTCTACGATACAAGACGTAACTGCATCACTCAAAGGTACGTCCAATGCAGGTATCATCTATGTAATTGAATTTGTTTGTAATTGTTGGTTGTGTTCATTTTTAATGGTCACGATGTACACTTATCTTATCTCATTTGTCTAACCATAATTTCCGTTCAGCACCAATCAAGAAGAGAAAGGCGGATAAGCTCGTCATTCAAACCAAGGATGAACCAGTTGTTGACCCACTCCAACAGAAGTCCCCCAATGAACTCGTAATCGAGTTCGTCTATCCAACCTTATGCTTCCGAGATCTCCTACTTGTTGATTGTGGTGAGCAACTTCTGGTGATACTCGGGTCCCCATTCAAGTCCTTTTCGTCAAAAGTTGTGGCTGATAGCTCCATCTCGTTCACAGTGTACATTGGCAACCCCCTTCTGACGCTAAGTGACTCAATGAAGAAGATTGTTGGCAGACATAAAGAGTGGTTGACAAAGAAGGAGGTGGAGTACCAAGTCGATATCAACTTTGCTTTCACCTTCAAAGATAAGGTTATGAATCCGTATGACACAGCAGTCAACTGCCGCGCCTTCACCATTGTGAAGGCATCAGATGGACAAAGGATTGATTGGTGACTCACAATAAATCCTCTTGACAACATTGCACATTCCCAAAAATCTATTATTTTTATTTCTCCCAATATAATATAAATATTCTGAATATTATTTACTTAGATCTAAATCTGCACTTTACCTTAATTTCAAGATTACTCAAAACCTTCATTTTTATCTCAATTTGGAATTATTTAGCACTATGATGGTGCAACGACAATATGACCAGGTCAAAGAGGTCGTCGAACCATTGTCAGTTGCGTCAACACACGCGATACTTATAATTAATTAACAATGTTATCGAGAACTACTGCTGCTGCTTTAGTATCTGGCAAAAGATTATTGTCTATCAATCTTCTTTCGAATCACCCTTTATCAAGTTATACAACTACAACAAATAAATTATTAAACATGTTCAAGGTTGTTGCATCAGATTTGGATGGAACTCTGCTGGCTCCAGATCACAGTCTTACAACACTGGCAAAGGAAACACTACAGACTCTATCAAAGAACAAGGGAGTGGATGTTGTATTGGCAACTGGTAGACATCATGTTGATGTCGCAAGAATTAGAAACAACCTCAATATCGATCATGGCTACTTCATTGCATCGAATGGCGCAGTCGTACAGAACAGTGCTGGAGAGATCATCTTTGAACATGTCATTCCTGCAGAGCTGGCCGCAAGACTCTACGACTTGGTCAAGGACGACAAGGAGATCTTAACGAACGTCTATCGCAAGGATGAATGGCACATGAACAACGATGTACCCGAGGTGAAGAAGTGGTTCACCGAGTCAAACTTCACATACAAGGTGTTCAAGCACGACGGATCGCTGCCGCTCGACGGCGTTCACAAGGTGTTCTACGTGTCGTTGAACCACGATCGCCTGCTCCAACTCGAGCAGCAACTCATTGAATCCTTCCCAGATGTGGCCGTGTGCTTTGCCTCCACCTTCTCACTCGAGGTGATGCAGAAGGGTGTGAGCAAGGGCAATGCTCTGGAAGAGGTTGTCAAGCTACTTGGACACACCATGCAGGATGTTGTATCGTTTGGCGACAGCATGAACGACTTGGAGATGTTGTCAATGTCTGGTAAAGGATGTCTAATGGAGAATGCCCAACAGAGACTCAAGGACAGTCTGCCGAGCAATGATATAATTGGATCAAACACAAGCGATGCAGTACCAAACTACTTGCGCCGTATCTATTCATTATGATAATGTCGACTAACAACAACCAACTCAATGTATTAATTACTTAAAGATTGAACGGACACTGTCAATGATCAATTGATAGAATGTCTGTGGAGCGGCAATGCTGTTGCTCGCTCTTGCTACAATGATCTCTCGCACTACATCTGATATCTTGGATTGGGTCGCAATGAGGTTCTCGATCGTCTTGCCAGCAGAGTACTGAATCATCGCGTTGATAAAGTTGGTCTCATCATCAGAGTCCACGCTCTTGAACCATTCCTCGTCCAATACCAATTGCGACACATCATCATCAGCCATCGTTGACGAAATTGTCAATGTGTCTGGATCGCGATCAGAAGGAACTTGTTGCTGTTGTTGTCCATGGTCCTCCACTGATAATGGGGGCGTGCCATTGGTCCTCTCGTTGTCCATCATCGCATCAATGTTGCTGTTTGGAGGGTCCACAACACTTGATTGTTTACCATTGTTGTTGAGGTGATCCTGAGTGTGATCAACTCCATTCTGCATGGGGGTCTCTTCGTCGTTGTCATTGCCAGAGTCAGTCGTTGATGTCGTCGTTGTTGTGGTAGTTGTCGTGGTCTCTGGCTGATCATCCATATCCTCCATCTCAATGTTCTCGTTGTCGGTCTGTGTTGGTTGATCACAATCCACTATTGGATTCTCTACCGTGTCGGTGGTAGAGTCTGGATGTGTTGAGTTCTCTGCTGACACTCTCTTTCTCCTCACTGGTCGCATGAAAGAGTCCATCATCTCCTTTGTGATCTCTGATGCCTCTCCTCTCAATCTTGCACTCCTCATAGTATGTCTACTATCATTGACGGGAGATGTGACACCACCACTGGCACCTACATTGCTGTTGTTGTTGTTGTTGTTGTCGTCTTCCTCATCAACACTGGTGTCATGTAGATGACTCTCCTCATTGATCACAGCATAGTTCCTTCCTCTCTTGATAGCAATGTTCTCACATGTCTGTATGAGGGTTGGATTGACCTGGTCCATCATGGCATAGACCTCGTCTTGTAGTTGCTTGGCTCTTGATGTCGCTTTGGTTCCATCGATTCCATTGGGATCATGCACTTGGTAGTACTCAATAGTATTGGTAACAATAAGATCAATATCTTTCAAGAATGATGATACTGTCAAGTACTTGTGATTTTCCAAGTTTTTTGATATCGCTGATATACTCATTGGATTCTTGATCAAGTCGTAGTATTCTGGGAACTGTTCAATGTTCTATATTGGATGGATGTCAATACTACTCGTCCATGGTGGCCAAGGATATGATGGTGATACTTACGACGTCCCTAAAGAATGAGTAGTATCTCCTGTCATTAATGATCTTGGATAATATCTCTCGGAGTAATATACGTAGTTGTCTAATGAGTTGGCTGTTGTTGATTGGTTAGTGGAATGGTCCCAACACCCTCACACAAGGCTACACTTCAACATACCTGTCTTTCTTTTTGTCCCTTGCTTCGTCTGGGACCATCTGTACAATGGGTAGTTTTTCGGTTGTTTTCAATGCGCATCGCTTGTTGGCAATCAATTGATGTATCGTGTCCTTGATGTCCAACAGTATGTTCTGGTAAAACTTGTGAATTGCATCCTGGATGTTCATAGATGTTGGTTTGGTTAGTGTTGCCCTGGCATGGCATCGATCAAACAAACAAACATGGCACTACTCACTTTGTTGGGTGCTTGAATAGAGTAGATGCTGTCATCTCTACAAGAGAATAGGTTGATAATGTCTTCGGGTATGTTGAGTGTGGTCTGTTCGATTGTGGCCAGTATAAGGAGTGGATGGTTGGGATCGATGTTGGCCATGTATGTGACTAGTGTGTTGGGCAACGACTCGGATGTGCCCCACCACCTGTCAATGTTGGGTAGGTATAGGATGCTGGGCGATATCTTCTTGGCCTCAGCCAATGCTCGACAACATGACTCGTCGATTGACTTGGCCACGGGGTCGGCCAGCAATGTGCATATATCAATGCTAAACACTGGGAACTCTTCAAGATGATATAGCAGCGCGTTGCCCAGCTGCACCTGTGCCTGGTCCTTCTCGCCACAGATAAGGAGACGAGGACGATAGACCTGGTAGTTGGCGATGGAGGTGGTCTCGGGACGGCCGCCACTGCTGGTCGCGCGTGCAAAGTGTCCAATGGGGAATATGTGTGAGATGGTCTGCAGCAGCTGGTCGAGGTCGTGTTCCAGCAGGGGTCGCACAGTGCGCGACAGGGGGTTGGCGAATGATTGAATCGATCGCTTGGAGCTGGGTACAATGGCCTGCATGGCCTCGAGGAAGTCGCCCTTTGTGACCTTGATCGAGTCGATCTCCAACAACAGCTTGTTCGTCGATTCGTAGATCTGTGGGTATGTCTTGCGCAGCGACACCAACACTGACTCGCTTGTCAGCGCCTTGATATCAGCTCCGCAGTATCCAGTGGCCAGATCGGCAACTGTGTCGATGGTGTGCTCGTCCAGGGGTGGCTGCCATTGTTCCGTGTGTATTTGGAGGATCTTGCGACGAGCCGCTTTGTTGGGCAGCGTGAAGAGGAGCTCACGGTCAAAGCGACCTGGACGGCGCAGTGCAGGATCAATCGAATCGATCCTGTTGGTGGCGCCAATGACTATTACCTGGCCACGATTGTCCAGGCCGTCCATGAGTGCGAGTAGCGTGGACACCATGCTGCTGTGTATGTGGTCCTGTCTGCTCGAGCGTACAGGCGCCAGACCGTCGATCTCATCAAAGAAAATGATGGATGGCTGCATCGACTTGGCCTGCTCAAAGAGCATGCGCAGTTGGCGCTCGGCCTCGCCCACCCATTTGCTCAGACAGTCTGCTCCCTTGCGCATGAAGAATGACACCTTCTGACCCTGTTTGCCAATGAGATTGCATTCGTTGACCAATGCGCGTGCCAGTAGCGTCTTGCCCGTGCCTGGTGGGCCGTAGAACAGCACGCCCTTGGGCGGCTGGATCTTGAACTTTGAGAACACCTCGGGGTAGACGAGCGGGAGCACCAACATCTCCTTTAACAGACGGATATGGCCGTCCAGACCGCCCACCGAGTGGAAGGTCACTGAGCTGTCGATCGAGACAGGCTCAGTGTCGCCAGGCTGTTGCTGCTCCTGGCCGCTGCCCTCGTTCAGATTGATGGGGAGCGGTCCTGTGATGCCGCGTCGCTTCTTCCAGCCGGGCTCGGTGTCCGACTCAGAGTCACTGTTGACCTCGCGTCCATTGCCGCCACCGCCTGTGCCCATCCTCCAGTTGGCGCGTGTGGGCATCAATGGTTTGGAGCGCGATCCTGTCGCTGATCGCGGTGTATCCGATATCTGGAATCGACTGGTCGGTATCCTGACGCGTCTTGAGTTGCTTGGCGGCAGATGTTGCTCCATCTCTGATGTCCTGATGTTGCCACGAGCACGATTGGGTCTCGTGACACTGCTGCTGTTGATGCTTGGTTTGATGTGTGATTGGCCACGCGTGGCAATCTGCTTCTCCTTCAATGCTCTCGCCTCCTCAATGTTGTCGCCTGTCTCAATGTCAATGTCCTGTGTCTTCTCCTTGCCGCAATCATCCACATCCTCTGTGCCGTCACCAGCTGATTGCTTGTTTGTAGACGCTTCCTTTTGAAACCTGTTGCCACCACGTCTGCCTCCCGTGAGGAAGGATGACACGTTGACGTCTGACAGATTGAGTGATCGCCTGGTCTTGAGCGGGGATTGTCCTGTCTGCTGTTGGTGCTGGTGCTGCAGCTGCATTTGGAGGTCCTCTTCCTCCTCCTCTTCCTTCTGTTGCTTCAGCTGTAGCAACTGTTGTTGTCTCTTTGTGATGGGTGTTGTGAAGGATGTTGTACGGGCGTAAAGGTTCGTCGGTTGAAGATCCTGCTGTTGCTGATGATGTATTTCGCGTTGATATTGCTTGGTAGGCGTGCGTCTAATAACCTCCTGCACATCCTCTTCGATGAGGAAACGAGGTCGTTTGACCAATCTTGTTCTCGTCTTTAGTTGATACTAAGTGTGTGGATGCTCTAGGGTCAGTCACATGTGTCGCGAGCCAGACAGTGTTGAAACAAACATACCTCTTCTTCCTCTTCTTCCTCTTCCTCCTCGACGTGCTTGGGGACGATCGGTCGCCTTGAGGATGATGCTTGTCTTGCGTTGCTGGCCCTTGTGCGTGTCCTGCTTTGATATGATGAGGGATAGTAACGTTCCTCTTCCTCCTCTTCACCACTGAACAATCTCTTGAGCAATGGTCTAGTCTCCCTTGGTCTCAAGTTGAACTTCTTTACAATTCTATCTTCTTCTTCTTGTTCTTCTTCATCTTGTTCCTCCTCCTCTTCTTCCTCCCCTTCTTCCTCTTCTTGGTCTGCTTGTTCATCCTCATCTTGGTCCTCATCTTCATCGACCTGTTCGCCATTCATATGTTTATATTCTTCATCATCATATTGATCATGTTCTGCAATGCGCACAATAGTGCTATCTAAAAGATCTGGTTGTTTGTTGATGTTGTCGTCCTCTACATCTCCTTCACCTTCTCCTTCTTCATTATTTGTGTCTGTTGTTGATGTTGTAGATGTTGTAGATGTTGTTGTTGTACCATTTATAGATGTAGTTCTCTTCCTATGCGATGATAATGATCTTTTTAAAGGTTTGAATGATGCCAATACATGTGAGGCTGTTGGCGAAGAGCATTCATCCTCTTTATTATCCATTATAACATATTATTATCTATTTATATGTATCTGTAATTATAAGTATAAATAACACGAATGACTTTGAAATGTACATTGAACCTGAATGTGTTTGCGTTTGAAGCTCATTCATTCTTTTGAAATTGAAGTTCTAGTTCATACCCATAAACTAAATTTTGTATTAATGTGGGGGTGAAGGTTGATCAATCATGTGTGATTGTCGATGGATAACGAATGAATAGAGATAATTATTACTGTTAACACTTCATTTGTATAAATAATTATTTTAAGCTAAAAAGTATACTTTAATTATTAATATTAAAATTAATAATAATAATAAATAATAATTAGGGATATGGAGATATTATCATTAAATGTTGGTGGAAAGAAATATATGACGACAAAGGAGACATTGATAAGTTATCCAGATAGCTTTTTAGGTGTAATGTTTTCTGGAAAGTACTCAATAACATATGATAAGAAAGGAAGAGTGTTTATTGATCGCGACGGAGAGTTATTCTCTTTTATATTATCATTCTTAAGATGTGGATCGGATAATGTTGGATTCTCACATTCAGATCGTAGATTTAATCAAATAATCAATGAATTTCAATATTATGGTCTATTACATCATTTAATATTCTCATCTTCAAGACCTTTCTTTCAAAGTATTGCATCGCCCAGCTCGAGATTCTCATTCTCCAAAGCATGTTTGATTGATACCAGACTCTACTTATTCGGTCTACGCAACGGATCACCCTTGATCGAAGCCTACAACCCGCTACTCAACCGATGGGACACTTTCAAGACTGGGATGTTCCCAATACGTGGTTCAATGTTGGCGTTGTCATCTCACATCTACGTAGTCAACTCACCAACAGAGTTGTTCAGATTCAATGTCAAGAGTAATCAATGGAGCACCCAGGCGCTGGCATGGTCCGTCGACACTGAGTCGAATTCAAGGGTGTCCCAGACCCAAGCCGACATCCCAATCACATCAGTTGACTATAGCTCATGTTCAGATGGTCACTCTATCTACGTGATCCGCAATGACAAGCAGGTGCTCAGTATCCTCGCGATAGACGTGCAGCATGAGACTATCCGATGTGTTGCCGAACTGTTCCTCAAGTCAGTCAGTCTCGAGTCTTGCTGTATGATCGGGCAACATCTGTTCTTCCTCGTGCACACCGAGCAAGGTGATCATACACTCTGTGCATTCGATCTCGTCAAGCAGTGCTTGGTACAGGACATCAACAACTTGAACTCAAACTCTAGCACCGGCTCAAGTTCGATGGGTCTGGGCGCAACTGGTGTTGGCTTTGGCAACAACATCAACACGAGCATTGGTAGACAACAACCACGCAACTATAGGATGTTGGCGCACAACTCTGAGTGCATCTACTTCTTGAATCAGAGTCAGCCATTCTTTGGAGTACAGCGAGAGAGTAAATTCTTTGCCTACAGCATCGAGGACAATAGTTGGCTATCACTACCCGAGCCCAAGAACTCAAAGATACTCCACTGCTTCCGTCTCACATCATGTCTCTACTGCATTGGTGAGGACTACGCTATTGAAGTATTTGATACCACAAGGAACCAATGGTATTAATCCATCATGTATGGAATAAATGATTGATTGATTGATTTTATTGGGATGGTTCCATGTGCGATCACTTCATTCATGTGCAATAGGTCCAGGAGTATCCAGTTGTTGAATTACCCGAACATTGGTCTGTTACGGGAAGCGAACCTGCTCCATCTTTTATCAAACAATATTTATCAAAGTAAGTGTTCATGCTGTACGTGGTCTGATCACATTTGTTATACTTGTAGCTAGTGTCATTAAATATCGCATTGAAGGGTATGCAGATATCCAGTGGCTCGTATTGGTAGAGCTCCAGGTCATCACACGAGTCGCCATAGTAGACCATGACTCCAGAGTTGGCGGGGATGTCCAAGCTGGCACTGCATGTGTACATCAAGTTGTCATTCTTGCATATGTTGAGAGGGATAGTGCCGTTGCCGAATGAGTGACCGGTGCAGTTTGAGTCATTGTAATTGAAGTAGACCGCCTCCATCTCTTGTGCGCCCGGTGTACAGTAGAGCTTGGTGTTGGAGCCGGTTAATGAGTTGCACACACCAGCTGGGACGATGGTGCCGATTTCCAAGTCTTTATCTGATTGCTTCTGGCAGTCCTGGTGCGTGAAGTAAGATGTTTGAGTGATGTAGTTGGCATTGGTCAATGCCACGCCCAGTCCTCCTCCTCCTCCCAGCAACAACAAAAGTGTTGTTGTCAGCAGAGTAAGAGTTATTGGCAACTTGTATATTTTGTTCATAGTTAGAAGCGAATGTCTTGGATGATGTTCATTCATTCATTCTCTCAATGAGAGATATATCACTGTTTGCTGGTCAAACAAGTTTGATGTTGATAGATGAGGGAAGTCTCAAAAGAATGAAAGGTTGGTGGAATGATTGAAAGGTTGGTGGAATGATTGATTGATTGATTGAGTGATTATTACAATTGCGCGCGCCCATTATGTCTTTACTTCATCTCGAGATGCATGGTCTTTAGTTGACCCACTATCCCTACTCTTTCGGTTGTCCTTGCTCCTACTCCTACTCCTACTTCTGCTCTTGCTCCTGTTGTTTCTTTCTCTGTCACGCCTCTTTGATACTCTGTCTCTTGACCTACTTCTACTCTTACTTCTACTCCTACTCCTCGTTCTGCGTCTACTCCTCTTGTCCTCTCTACTCCTGCTCCTGCTCCTACTCCTGCTCCTTGATCTACTCCTGCTTCTGCTTCTTTTGTTGCGACTACCACTGCCACTGCCACTGCCACTGCCACTGCCA